CAGCAGCTCGGGGTGGGCGCACTTGACATTTACGAGCCTCGCGTTTGGCTTTGGCGGCGGCGATGCGGTTGGCTTCGTAGACCTCTGCGCCCGTCTCCACTGTCCTCCTCCAGAACGGCTGGTCCCGGGCGAGGTCTTCCCAATTTGCCGAGTTTATCTACAGACGCTTCAGGGTGTCCTTGTGGCGGCGGAAACCTGGGGCGACATCTCCATAGAAGAGTCGTTTGGGAAGCCGCTCGTCGTCCATCCGCACGCGTTGACCGCTTCAACGCAATTGCAATCGTCTCAGCATGGCGTAGATGCTGATGAATCCAGTCCTTTCCAGTTCATCCTTGTCGAGTGTCCGGTACTGCCACCTCAGCTTCAATATCTGTCGAAGACAGCTGGGGTGGAAGCGACTGAGTCTCCGTGCCTGCTTCTTGTGGAACGTCCAGGTCTCCGCTCATTACAGCAGCGGTGACGGCGAAGATATTCACGCTTCCCTGCATGTCCCATTCCGAGATGGCGTTGGGGGCACAGTCGTCGGCGAAGAGAAGTTCATGAACAGCAGCTGCGAATACATGCGACTGGAAGTGCATCCTCCGGTGGTTGGTGAGCTGGCCGTCCGTCCTGTAGGCGATTCGGATCCCACGGCGTTCGTCACGGTGGGTGTCCAGCAGCATGGCAGAGAACATAAGACTGAAGAGGGAAGGCGCGAGAACGCAGCCCTGCTCCACTCCGTTGGTCACCGCGAATGCCTCTGATAGAGCTCCATTGTTAGTGACTCGCTCCATCATGCCGTCGCGGAGCCGACGCAACATCCGGGTGAATCGCTCGAGACAGCCGAATTTCTGCATAATTTTCCACGGTCCTTCGCGATTCACCGTGCCGAAGGCTTTTGTCAGATCCACGCAGATAGAGTAGAGGTGGATTCGCACCTCCTGACACTTCTCCTGCAGTTGACGGGCGGCGAATATCATGTCCATGGTCTCACGATGACAACGAAGGCCCTACTGGCTTTCCAGCAGGGGATCCTGTTCCCGATGTTTGCTCAGGCGGTTGAGAAGAATTCAAACGAATATCTTCTCGGCGATGTTCAGCAGGGAAATGTTTCAGTGGTTATCGAAGATTTAACTATTTCCTTTGCGCTTGTAAAGGTGAACGACTGTGGCGTCCTCTTCTCGACGCCACATCTTCGGGGAGGGCGTCGTCAGGTGATCCATGAGTTGGGGGCCATCGTGTTTGTAGATCCTAGAGGGATTGCGTCCGATCCGGACGCTTTCCCTCTGGAGAGCTGCTGCACGGCCTTGATTCGTGGAGAGAGAGCAGGAGGTCGAGGTCGGCGCTGGTCGACATTCGCGGCAGACGCGCCATGGCGGCGTCAGTGATGGTGAAGGGACGGTTGAGGACGCCTTTGAAGTGCTCGGCCCATGGCTGTAGCACTTGTGTCATCTCATTGAGTAGGGTACTGCCGTCGGCGCCGAGAAGAGGAGCAGCTGCTTTGGTTGGTGGACCGTCGATAGCCCTGATAGCGGAGAAGAAATTCTTCCATTCGTCGCGGTCCGCGTATACTTGGGCCTCCTTGGCCTTATTAGCCGTCCTGGCGTCCTGCATCTCGCGGAACCGCTGTTGCACAAGGCGGCGACTACGGTAGAAAGCAGCTCTGTTGTCATCGGTTGGGCGGGTGATGTAGCCTTTGTGCAGGCGGTTGTTCTCGACGAGCAGATTGCTGATGGCGGTGTCGTTTTCATCAAACCAGTCCTGATTTTGTCGACGTGCACGACCGAGGACATCCAGAGCCGTTGACTGAACTGTGTCCCTCAGTTGGCGCCATCTGTTCTCCACGGGGCATTCTCGTCAGTGGCGGCGGCGTCGTTGACTGGAAGGTTGTGTGGTCGTTGAGCTAGCTCGTCGCTTAAATGGAGATGGTAGGCAGGTGAAGGCAACAGGGCAAAATTCAGCTTACCTGAGGGTCGCTTACCTTGTGGTCTTCTGCGAGGCTGTAAACGAATCCGCATCTGGGAGATAACGAGGCGATGGTCGGTCCACCCTTCAGCATCCGGAATCGCCTTTGTCACCAACACGTCACGCTGGCCTCGCCTCCGGACGAGGATATAGTCCAGCAGCTACCAATGTCGTGATCGAGTATGCGTTCAGATGGCTTTCTCTTGCGTCGGGGGCGAAAGAAGTTGTTCGTTAGGTTGAGGCAGTGTTCTGCGCAGGTTCGTAGAAGGAGCAGTCCATTTTCATTGAAGCCATCGAGGCCATGGGGATCCAGCACTCCTCTCCAAGCAGCATGGTCTGTGCCGAAGTGGGCGTTAGAATCACCAAGGACAATCAACTTTAACGCCTTTGACACCGTCGCCAGAAGGGCATGCAGGTCCACGTAGAATTTGTCTCTTCCGGCGTCAGAGCTGGTCATGGGGACAGCGTAGACACTGAAGATGGTGGCGAATTTGCCTCTTCGGAGAGACAGGCGAAGGCTCATCAGACGATCGTCGGTGCCCTGCGGCAGACAGGGCAGTCGTCCCGCCATGTCGTATCGGATAGCAAAGGCGACACCCGCGTCCCGTCGCTCTGCCTTGGGGTGACCGCTCCAGAAGAAGGTGTAGTCGGCACCCACCTCCTCCAGTTGGTCTTGTTCGAAGAACCGGGTCTCGCTGAGTGTGGCGATGTCCACCTTGTAGCGCGCCAGTTCCCGAGCCACTAGCGCCGTCCTCCGTTCCAGTCGGTTGCTACTCGGATCGTTTAAAGGGGAGCGAACATTCCAGGCTGCCAGAGTGAGCGTACTCACCCTACCAGTCTGGGGAGCGGGACGGCGGGGAGTAACGGGAGGAGAGATAGTATTGCTTATTTGTTGGTTGTTTCTACCGTGAGTTTAACGTTTGCGACCACGGTCAGCCTGCAGAAGCCGTGGATCCCCAGCATTTGTTTTGGAAACCTTTTCTAGCTCCTTTCCCCTCGCGGGGGTGATCAGCTTTGCCTCTAAATAGGGCTGCTGAGTTGTCCCAGGCGGCTGCCGAACTCCGCTATGGGCCACGGCTTTTTTAATGTGAGGACGATCCGAGTTAGCCTGGGACTGCATACGACATCGCGGTAAGCTTGAAGGGGTGGAGGGAAGGGTAGAGAGATGGGATGCACAGCTTCCCTGTTTTTTGCTAAGCAAACTGGTTGTTGAAATATAAACGGTGAGCAGACAAATTCAGCAGAACGCCTTCAATAAGGACACATGCAAACAAGCAGACAAAAGCAAGCAGGCAAGAACAGCAAAAGGCAAAGGCAACAGAGAAAATTCAATAGAACGACATTTAGTTTTCAACAAGAACAAACACAAGCAGGCAGACAAATAGCGGTCCAGCAGAGCAATGGTCGCTTATCTGGGGGCACTTGCCTTGTGGCCTTCTACGGTGTTTTAGACGGTGTCTAGTCTCGGAGTTGCTGAGGCGGTGACCCATCCGGCCGACGGAGCCGAGATTACAATGTGCGGAGATGCCCACACGGATTTCCTCGCCTGGTTTAGCCCGCCGGTCGAGGCGGTTACCGGGGTGTGGCAGCTAAGCGAAGCTTAGCTTTGGGGAGCCACATGTGAGAGTGGGGTTCCAGTAAGTGGACGCTAGGCGTGGTCTACACCTTCAAACAAGTGGGCGACCTACTACAACCGTCACGTGGGCCTACAACTGGGCACCCCTACGTCCCACTGCTACAAGCGCTGCGTGTCGAGCGCGACAGATTTTTTCCCGCTAGGTGCGCAGGCGCCCCACGACGTGTTAAGGAGACTTGCTGGGCAAATCAGACTACGGTGTGCCTGGGAATGCTAACTTCAGGAATGCTCCTGACAGTGGACCATTTTAGAGCCTAGCTACCTGCGCAGATAGTGCCGCCTCAGCCAGTCAGGTGAGTAGCAACAAAGTCGGAGGTACAAGTACATTTCCACTCAGCTTTTCGTATTCTCGTCGGTTGCTGCATTATGAAAAAGTACTCAGTAAGATTACTTATTGCTTTTCCCACCCAAACGTCGGAACAGTGCTGTCCGAGACACGCTCTACCTTGTAGGCGTCGGGTATCTGCTGAAGCATATCATATAGCACGATCTCAGTGGTTGTTGCTTCCGTAGAAAGTGATTGCCCATAGAGCTTTAGTCTCGTTTTCGGAAGCCACACATTGACTTTAATGGTGAGTATCACTCCGCGAAGGTGGATGGCTGTTTATTAGATAAACTGCGACCACTGCGTCTATTAGCCGCTACGAGTGCATAAAAGGACCTCGTTAACAGACAAGATGCAGATCAGTACGCTGTCAATTCCGATGTGATTCAAAAGTTCCGCACCAACTGTTGCTCGAACTGGGTTGCCTTGATTGTGTAGGGCGAGCAGCAATTGACCTTAATAAGGGCTTTCCCTCCAGCCTCGAGCACAAGATTCTTTGGTAGGTTCACTTTCAGAGGGCTCTGTAACGTCTAAGTTGTGTGTGTACTCAGTGCACCACAATAAGTATGAACCAGTCTCCTATTGGATGAAAAGGAGGAAAGACACCAATAGACTCAGTGGTGGTCAGAGCTGCCGACGTGCGGGGCCTACACACTCGTCTATCCGTGGGCGTGTGTGTATGTGCGTCATGTGAGAGTCAATCAGCATTGGCCCTTCACAAGTGGTATTTTTCGTTCCTTATCTAAGGACTCTTTTTCTGCTTGGACGTCTTCCTCCCTTCTAACCTCGTTTTTACAGGAACCCATTTCTTTTACCCCTATTCACAAGCGCAAGTCCGCACTGCCTGTGGGAATGGGGTTTGTGAAACCATGCTTCGAATTTTTCCTCAATTCGATTTGACTCTTTTGGCGCGAGAGCTGAACTGGAAGTCCTTTTTGTATCTTACCGTTTAAGAGTTTGCTGAATGTGTTTACATGGAAATTAGTACGGATTGCATAAACTTTTCTAAATTACTGCCAGTATATGCTTTTGTGTAAATATACGCGAAACATATAATATATAGAACCCAACTGATAATCATGTCGTCAGTTCGTTCTTCAAAATTATTCAGACTTCATAGGATGCTTTGGTGATGGAATCCCGGAAGGCGACCCATTCCTAATTTACTCAAAGCAGCTGACAGCTATGGTTTTTTCCACAATGCAAGGCAACTAATGACGTTCCAGTGAAGTCGATTGATTGTTTCACTTCATCGTAGTTGGCACAAATAGAATTTTGGATTGCAGTGACTTTAGTTAAAGCCCTCAGGCGTAGGCGTAGTCAGAACAAGGAGGCAGATCCCATAGTTTTGGAGGTCCTATCGTCTCGGAGTTCTCGCAGGGGGTTCGGGTGTTGGCATACTGTCCTCGCATTCATACGTGCGACAGCGTGTCCTTAGTTCTTTTCCCAAGCGAACCATGTTTGATGCGCTACTTCCAGTAGTCCACACAGTGTCTATCAGAGGTGTCGGGGTGCATGGAGTGTTGTTGGCGGGACCCCATTTTGCAGTTGTGCGGACACGCCAGGTTTATCGATGGGTTTTGATGCAAGTTGGACAACCTTGCACTTAAGAGTATATCCTGCCGCACATATACTATCGGCAGTTACCATGCGCGAAGGTGTAGCAAAGGAGACTCCAATTGGATCTGGTGGTGCCGGCACGACTATCTTTGTAAGAATACCTACAAAGGGCACATTGAAAGTTCTGGTCCTGGTGGTTACCTATGCATCGTCTTGCCCTGGCATGCGCCTTTCATCCGTGACTCCATGAAGCCGTGCTAAGCGCGGCGACCACACTTTGGTAACCGTCCTTGGTGGTCGGACTGAATCAGATGCCTGGCGTGTGTGTCTTCCCGGCCGGCAATCCCTAACCAAATCCCCAAACTCTCTCGCAACCCTCAAACAGAGTGGATGACGTACAAACTCGTAGGTGGCTCAGGTTAAATCGGGTAGTCTCTGTTATGTATGCAAAACAGAAGGCTAGTTGTAGACAGGAGGTGTGCTGAGAACGGGAGACAGCACAAGTGGGGAATATTATAGACACGGCCGGGTATATGGCATTGGGGAGTGTCATAGGCCGAAGGGTGGCCAATTGGCACAAAGGTGGTCTGAACGGGAGTACATGACCTTGATCGTTTGCTTGTCGCGCGCATGTGGCATGATGTCTAGACAGTCCGGGTAGCAGGCACTGCAGTTTCACCACTAGACAAAAGTCACGATCCACAGTGGAATTCGGGAACCGCCTGGGATGTTCAGGAAGATATATCTAGGGATAACACTGCCTACTCCCTCGCTGGGAAGGGGTTAGAAAAGGTGCCTTAAACATCAATGAAAAAACGCCACTAACAGGCAGAATGTGACCTCTGGACGGACAAGATGCGATCAAATAATTGTAACAATGACCGTCTCATGACCACGAGGCTCCCACCGCGCGGAACGCATTCACTACCATCGTTAGCACCGATGCTCCCCAAATGACTAACTCCGATTGTGTGAATAACAAGCTCTGCGGAGACCTGTATGTCCTCCAAACGACTGTGTCAAAGACCAAAGAGTCGATTGTCCTTGGCGATTTCAGTGTCTGTGTCAGCACAAGCCATGCTTCATGGAAGGAGTGCATGATAGCCAAGGCTTCCTCCGCCTCCCCTTAAAAGATTTCGCGAAACAAAATCTTTTCTGACAAACATCATCCGTCTTCCGGTGCGGATGAAGGTGACATGGACGCACCCTCGTTCGCATAACTGGCATCTCCAGGACAACGTCCTAGTTCGGATGCGAGACCAACATCACGTGCTCGTGATAAAGACGATGTGTGATTCTGACTGCTGGACGGATCACCGCCTTGTCACCTCTGAGATAAGGCTCCAACTGCAACTGCACAGGCGATCGCAAGGTCAGCCGGAATCAGGAAAGGCAAATACTTTATACGGCTGGACGCCGATTCAATTTTAGCAATTGCATGAATACCGAAGTGGAAGCAATGCAAACCCTTGGGGCGGATACCAGTGCCGGGAACCAGTGAATGGTGTTGCAGAATACCGCCCAGGTCGCTGCGGTGAAGGCCCTCGACTACATAAGCCGTCAACACCAGGATTGGCTTGATGACAATGGTGAAGAAGTCTGCGCTAATCTCACCGAGAAACACAAACTATACACGACCTTCACTGTTAACCTCTGCGATGCCACTAAAATCTTATGCGTCCGATGCTGTCGCCGAATACAACAAAGGCTGAGGGAAGTGCAGAACGACTGTGCGAGGACACCCAGGAATACGCCGACCGTGGTGAGATGAATTTCTTCGTGGCCGTCAAAACAGCCCACGGTCTACAAACCAAGCGGACTGCACCTCTGCTGACCAAGAATGGAGCAACTATCCTGATGGAGAAGTCAGAAATCCTAGAGCGGTGCACTTTCAGAGTGTCCTCTCCTGCCCGCCGACAGTATGCGAAAAAGGCATCCACTGACTTCCTGAAATGGACACCAGCTACGACCTTGAGCATTCGCATTCCCTCTTTGCGGCCATCGGAACAGTGCAACAGCTGTTCAATTGAAAAGTACCTGGAACAGACAACTACAGCCGAATGCTACAAACACGACGGCCCACAGCTTATGACAGAGGTTATCTCGCTGTTCCATGTGATATAGCAAAAGAGACACTTCTCAAAAGTCTTCAAGGATGCCACCATCGTGCACATTTACAAACACAAGGGGGCCGACAACTATATGTTAACCACAGAGACATCTCCCTTCCCAACCTCGAGGGAAAAAGTTTTCACCCGTGTCCTACTCAAGTGTCTACACACGAATCTGGAGCAAGGATCTACTCCAGAAGCACAGTGAGAATTCTAAAAACACCGTGGAGCCTTGGGCACGATCTCCGCGGTTCTCCAACCGCTAGGAAGATGTCAGGAAAGGATAACTTACCTCTGCGCCGTATTTGGGGATCCGAACAGGGCCTTTGACACGCTGAAGTACGATGAACTCAGGAGAAACACGCAGTAATTAGGATATCTCGAGCGATTTACTCTAGTGGAAAGATAACTTCACGACGCGAAAATGGCTAATGTAAAGGTCAGGAGGATAGTCTCTGAAGCGTTCGCGGTTACCGATGGGGTGAAGCTGGGCCGTGTGCTCGTTCCCACCCTATTTGGACTCATGTCCTCTGCTCTCCTGGTGGACGTGTTCCGAGGCGCCAAACTATCTTGCATTTGCCTACCTATTCACCATTCTTGAACTTACTGGTTGTTTGACTAGATGGAAGGGACTCGGCTCAACACGACGTTCGTGGCATGTGTAGAATTATCAGGTCGTTTGACACTTAACTATTAATTCCTTCATAACCCTAGTCTTGAACTGATATCCATAATCTGGGATTGGCAATCGCCTCCTTTGTGTTCGCAAAAGTGGTAACCCCTTCGATGTTCACGCTTACGCCTTAGATTTGCTGCATGTACATAGCTCGTTCTCCTTGATTCTCTATACCGCCATACTCTCTACGGATTTTAACGATGCCGCTACTTCTCTTCGTGGAGTCGTTTTGTCCCTCCCAGGCTTCTGGCAACATGCACCAGAACTTTACTTCTTTCATATTGGGGCAGCGTTTCACTCTGCAAAGACGACACGAGAAACCGACAAGTACTATTTGTTGGTCGAGATCCTTCTTCCCCCCATTCTTTCCCAAATGCAGGCATTTTTGCATGATCGCTCGACTGATGCTCCCTATACCAGGCTAAAGGCTGAACTTCTTCGCCTGACCTCAGTCTCAGATAGCCGTCGTTATCGCGTACTCGTAAAAGAAGAGGCTTTAGGGGATCACAAACAGTCGAAACTCCTGCGTCGCATACTGTCTCTTGTTTGGGACATGGCCATGGGTATAGGTTCTTTAAAGGTTGTGTGTCCAGATCACGTCGGGGTCACCGACTGTCGCCGACAAGACAGGGGTTCCCAAATCAGAAGTCGGGAAGACGGATTGGGCAGGGCAATTTGTACTGCTGAGGAAGTGTGTACACAAAGGCCCTGCAAGCAGTCGCCGCGGGCGGCCTCTCCAGGCAGGTTGTGTCTGTGTCCGCCGTTGAGGTGCTTAGACTCCAGCGCGTGTGTACGCCTTTCTCTCTGCCTCATTGTCCACCAGCCTATCAGAGAAGGGGCGGCATGTATTGGCCTCGAGCGCTCGCGAGGCTGGTGTCAAGCCTCTCGCGCCCTAGCGACAGATTGACAGGGAGTGTGAGGCGGACAGGAGGGCGGCGTGACAAGGCGGCGGGGAGCAGGGAGGCGCGGGTTGCCACATGTACAGTAGGCATGCGGTATCTCACTGTATCTGCTTGCTAGAGCAGTGCTGCATGTCTGTGTCCGCCGTTGAGGTGCTTAGACTCCAGCGCGTGTGTACGCCTTTATCTCTGCCTCATTGTCCACCAGCCTATCAGAGAAGGGGCGGCGTGTATTGGCCTCGAGCACTCGCGATGCTAGGAGCAAGCCTTGCGCGTCCCATCGGCAGATCGACAGGGAGTGTGAGGCGGACAGGATGGCAGCGTGACAAAGTGGCAGAGAAGAAGGAGACACGGACTGCCACATTTCTAGAATGCCTGCAAACAATCTTTACCTCCGGCTCAGATGATTTAGATATCTCAAAACTAGCCGATCGTATAATGGAGGTTGAGCGTTTGTCATCCACGACAGTTGCTCAGGTTTCATAACCTCTCACTGCGCCCGCTTCTGACCTGGCCGAGCTCAAGACGCAAATTGCTCAACTGTCGGCGACTCTTGCCGCTTTGAAGCTCGTCTCGACGTTTCTTTAGCCGTGACCGCTGTCGTTCCCGCTCTCGCCTTAGAACCGCAAGCATATGCTGGTATCATGTAAACTTTGACGATAAGGCGCGTCATTGTGTCCCACCCTGCACCTTCAAGTCCTCATAGGGAAACTCCCCAGCCGGAATGTAAATGCAGTCGAAGTCTCTGGCAACTCTACCGGTCACACATTTTGCATCGGTGATAACACAAGTGGCAGACGTTTCTTAGTCGACAGTGGCGCTCAAATGAGTGTTATCTTTCCTACCCCAGCCAACCGACGTTGCCCCAACTATGGTCTTTTTCTCCGGGCCGTAAACTCTTCTCACATCGCTACTTTTGGATCCCGATTTATCATCCTTGACGCTGGTCTCGGGCGAATTTACCATTGGGTCTTTTGTGGTGGCTGATGTTCCTACTGCTAACCTTGGTGCTGACTGTCTAGCCGCTTTCAGCCTTCTGGTTGACTGCAGCCAACTTCGTCTTTATGATAGCGCCACTGTCCTTCTCTGTTAACGGTTTTCACCTATCTCCAGCTTCCAACCGCCCATCTGGCCTTGATCCAAACCCTGACTGTCAATTCTGTAAACTTTTAGAAAAACATCCTAATCTCGCTAAGCTCCACTTTTCTGACTCCTCCTTGTCCAATGATATTGTTCACCACATAAAAACGACTGATCTTCCTGTCTTCTACCGTCTCCGCCGTCTTGCTTTCACTCGTCTTGCGGCGGTTAAGACTGAATTTGAGTCCATGCGGCAACTAGGGCTTATCTGACAGTCTGAGAGTCCCTGGACATTTCATTTGCACATAGTTCCTAGAGCGCAAACGTATGCCTGGCGTCCATGCGGTGAATATCGGTCCCTGAACAATGTAACCGTCCCAGACCGCTACCCCGTTCCTCATCTCGGGACTTTTCTGGAGCTCTCTTTGGCAAAACCGTTTCTCGAAGATCGATTTGGTCGAGGCTTTTCATCAAATTCCGATTGCGTCTGAGGATATTCCCAAAACAGCAGTGACGACCCCTTTCGACTTGTTTGAATTTCTTCGTATGCTATTTAGTCCCCGAACTGCCTCACAGACTTTCCAACATTTCATTAACCGTGTTTTACGTGGCCTTTCATGTGTTTGTGCATATGTTGACGATGCCTTAGTCGCCAGTCGGGATGCTGATGAACATCTTCAACACCTTGCCTCACTTTTCAGCCGATTTCAACAGTTTGATGTCACCCTGCATCCTGCTAAATGTGTCCTGGGGGCCACATCTCTTGAGTTCTTAGGTCATCAGATCGATTCCAGCGGCCTTCAGTCTCTTCCCTCAAAGGTGGCTGCCATTCGAGACTTTTTACCTCCTACCTCGAGGCGTCAGCTGCAGCGGTTTCTCGCTTGGTAAACTTTCATCGACGGTTTCTCCCGAACCGTGCCGACACCATCCTCCCACCGACCAGTTCCCTCGCAGGTTCTAAACGCACCTCTAGACTTACAACAGCAGCATCCACGTCATTTGAGCAGGTAAAAGCCCTTCTGGCTGATGCCACCATCCTGACACACTTTCATGCTGATGTACCCATATATCTGATGGTCGATGCTTCCGGTGTTGCTGTTGGCATTATCCAGTGCCGAAACCCGCTACATCACATTCGGACGTGAATTTCTTGCCGGTTATCTTGCCGAAAGACACTTCCGGCAGTTTCTGGGAGGTCGAGAGTTCACAATTTTCACAGATCATAAGCCACTCACGTTTGCTATGCATTCCCACTCTGACAGACTAAACCCCGGGAGATCCGCCACCTGGACTACATTTCGCAGTTCACCTCAGACATCCGCCATATTGACGGGTCTCAGAATGCGGTGACTGACGCACTATCCGGGCCCTCTGATGCTCACCTCCAGTTTTCACCCGAGATCGATCTTGCTGAGATGACCGCTGAACAACGCCGTGTTGGTTCACCCTGTGATGAGGATGTTTCCGGACCCCAACTTCAGGAGCTACCGCCGACAACTGGCAACAGCGCAATTCTATGCGAAGTATTCACCCCATCCATTGCCCATTTGTGCCACCATCCCTTCGCCGTAAATTTTTCTCCTCCCTGCAAATCTACCTAACCCTGGGAATTGGGTTACCGACAAGCCGGTTTTCGACCCCTTGTCTGACCTGGGATGCACAAGGACCCTAAAGCATGGACGCGGGCTTGTATCGCCTGTCAACGGAGTCAGATCCAGCGGCACAACCAGACACGCATTGGCACCTTCCCCGGTTGTGGTGCAAGGTTCGGCCACGTTCACATGGGCATTGTAGGCCCCCTGCCTCTGTCAAGTGGTTGTTCCTATCTCCGCACCTGTGTGGATCGGTCCACCCGGGGGCCGGAAGTTATCCCTCTGCCCTATTTTGTGGCTGCGAAGGCAGTCTTTACCCTCCTTTTTAGGCTGTACCCGCATCCAGACGACACCCTATCGTCCGGCTGCCCACAAGATGGTCGAGCGGTTTCACGGCCAATTCACAACCTCCCTACGTACCGCGGATGATCCGGAGAATTGGGCAGGCCATATTCCCTGGTCCTTTTGGGCATCCGCTTCGTTTTCAAGCCGGACCATGACTGTTTCGCGGCTGAACTGGCCTTCAGCGCCACAGTCCGACTTCCTAGTGAGATGATCTCGCCAAATCCTTGTGGCGCGCTTGAGGGTCCCACCAACCTCCTTCACCGCCACCGGCAATTCATGCGTACACTTTCTCCGGTCCCGCGCAGATCCTCCGACTCTCCGTATTATCTCGAGAAGGACTTGGTAACGTGCTCTCACGCCTACGTTCGATGTGATTGAGTTCGCCGGCTTCTGGAACCGCCCTATGATGACCCATTCCGGGTCCTCTCTCGAGGGACAAAGACGTCCCACATTCAACGCGTCAGTCGTGAGGAGGTCGGACGAGCCCTGTGGTCCCCTACTCTCTGCCCCCACCTCCTCCAGTCTCTATTCCGCCGTCCCGTACATCCTCTCCTCTCCCCTGTCCGCTACCTCCAACTGTCGCCTATAACTCCAACACTTCCGCCGCAGGATGTATTCACTCTTCTACGGAGCCTGCATATATCACCCACAGTGGTTGTCACGTCCACTTTCCTGACCAATTTGTCACTCATTTCTTTTAGACTTATACACATCCTTCGTCGTCTTTTCCGCCGCCCTCCAGTCTCGGACGGGGGGGGGCGAGGAGTAATGTGCCAAGGCGCCAGACTACCTTGCATTTGCCTATCTGTTCACCATTCTTGGACTTACTGTTTGTTTAACTGAATGGAAGAAAGTCCGCTCAACGCGATGAACGCGACATGTGTAGAATTATCAGGTTATTTAACGCCTTATTATTAATTCCTTCATAACCCTTGTAGTGACCTGATATCTATATTCTGGGATTGACAATAGTGTCCTTCGTTTTCACAACAGGCACCTACCGTGAGGTGCGGTAAGAGATCGAAATAAACTAACGAACCAACGAAAACCCGTTCAGCATCGGTTGCCTGGAAGAATGTTTGAGAGCGTCCAAGGACACCACTCACCATCTACTGTTTGCGGGTGACTGCGCGCTAAACACCACAACGGAAGAGGACATTCGGCGGAGTATCGACCTCTTTGTCTGTGGTTGGGCCAGCTTCGGACCGGCCATCAGCACGGAAAATACAGTGGTTCTACACCAGTTGGAGCCAAATGCGGACTACATCGAATCCCGTATCAAGGTCAGTGAAACTCATCTCAAAACAGTGGGAAATTCGCCTACCTTGAGAGTGCGATTTCAAAAAAACATCAAAACCGACGACGGGATCGCGTGTTGGATCTCTAAAGCCAGTCAAGCCTTCGGCCGACTAAAGCACTCACTGACCTGCAGCCACTCGACCGACTTCCAGCCTTGCCATAACCACCAACTCGGCAGTCACTGTCCAATCCTGTCCTTACTGCCGTGGCACATTTGCATCACACATCGTCCTGGCTGGACACCTGCGAATCCATCGCACAGAGGCCCCCAAGTTTCATGCGTTCATATGTCCATTTTCGAACATAGCGCGGTAAGATGTCACTCAGTCTTACAGGTGCAGCGAAGGGAGTACTCAAAGTTCGCATACTCGACTTCCTTTGTCCTGCCCTTCCGCCTATGTACCTGGCATATTTCGGAGATGCAATGCTCCGCCAACTGTTGAGGTGGAAGAAAATGACGCCGCATTCTAGCGCAGAATTACGACTCACAGACTTTGCGTAATAGTGCGACAGTGTGAGAGAGAGAGGAGGAGGGGGGAATTCGATTTATTTTGAAATCATAAGTTCGCAATGTTCAGCAAAAATGGGCTCCATTCACTATGGGCAGTAAATAAGTTAATAGATTACCCTAGAGTCAAAATGCTTAGCACAAAAGGGACGATTATTATTGGGACAGTTCAAGTCTTCGCTTCTGTACTTCTTTCTCTTCACACGTAAGATAGCGCGTTAGGAACGGCAATACAGAATCTCGAAATGCTGATGTGCGACAAGAGGTAAGTCGGAAGCCGCGGCGCATCGGGCGAGAAGATTTCGCAGAAATAAGATCAGATTGCAAGGGATGGACAACGTCATCCAGAATTCGACCTGCAAATTGCCTGACCGCTTTAAAATCTCGTTATAGGATAAGAGCGACTAAAAGAGATAAGAAACACCAACAACAGAAGAGAGCATTCGGAGGACTCGTTTTAAAATTAAAAGATCTTTTTTGAGCAAAGCAGGAAGAATGACAGGAGAGCAATATAGAATAGGAGGAAGAATACACGCATCTATGAATCGCCAGACTAAGGACTGAGGTGCGTGGTAGGAACGTAAACGACCAACGTATTAAAGAAGTTTGCGAACTTTAGTAAATAGAGACTCAATATGGAGGGAAAATGAAAGATTTGATGGCAAAGAAACGCAAAGGCACCTGAAAGGGATACCTCGTTGGGAAGGATGTCAAGGGAATCAGGACTAGGAGAGGGCCGCAGTCGGAAAATACACTGAACTGATTCTTGGTTGTTCATTAGGAGACCATTTTCCCCGAACATACCAGGACATGGTCAAGGCCATCCTTTAGGGACTGGAGGTGTGTCCGATTTTTGAGAGGGTGTCCAACAACCACATCATCAGCATACTTAACCAAAAGACAGTCGTTAGGGGCTCTCAGACCATCGGCATGGAGGGGGAAAGGTGAGGGGATAGAATGGAACTTTGAAGAACTCCGCAGTCATTGGGAAGGACCGTAGATTTATATTTGCCAACTTCGACAAATTGAGTGCGGGATGTAAAATAATCGCTAAGCCAAGAGACGACCCAGCCTGGAGAGCCGCACGTGGATGTTTTGGTAAGGAGAAGAGGGCGCGGAACGGCATTGAAGGCGGCGGAGCAGTCAAGAAAAGCACACGCGTTCTCACGGCGACCCTTATCTAATTTATCAAGGGCACAGTGGACCACAAGAGCAACAACACCTACATTTGGCTTTATATGCAAATTGTAGAGGATCCAGAAAAACAGGAAGAGAATGGCTTTATAATATCCAGGGGAACTCTTTCAGCAAGCTTTAGCAGTGCGGACATAAAGATGTAGGACCAAAAGTAGCGGTTTTTAGGGATGGGAGTAGTTTTCACTGTACACTAGGCGTCAGGAACCTTGGGCTCCGTGAAAGACATGTTAATAATGTGCGTTAAAACAGGGGCTATCTGAGAACAACATGACTTAAGAAGAAATGGTGAGACACCATCCGGTCCGGCAGCTGTTGATCCACGGACCTTTTTAAGGTGCTCCTCTACTGTTGCCACGGGCACGGGTTGGAAGGCACATGGTGATAGGAGAATGTCATTTGAGGGGGAGGGGAGTCATTGTAGTATTGTCGTCAACGGGCATCCACCCAACTCCAGCACTAACTGTCAGTTGTTAAGGAATTGGGCAACCCCTGTTATCAGGTTTCTGTTTTCCTTGAACACACTGCGCTCATTGCTGTCAAAGCATATAAAATGGCCGTTTGTTCTCTAAGCATTCCGAACTAGGGAGCCCGGACTAGTTTATCTAAGTTATACGTCAGAGCAGGCGTTGGGTCCAGTTCACTTCTAGTGGGCCTCTCGCCTGCTGTTGGATTGATGAAAACCAGATCGACCTAATGTCCTTTTTGCGAGAAGGGGTTTGCTCCTGGAAAATCGAATCCCATCACACAAGCAACTGCTACAGATTGTGGATCTCAATCCCTTATGACTCTGACGGCTAAGGGAGTGTATATGCCACTTAAATAATGCCAAGTTGTACTTTTAATTATCCCGTTCATCCACAGTCTTGACGGTGATCGACGTGCTATTCGTTTCGACACACACTTATGTCCGCCTATTGCGCATAATCCCCAGTACTTTCCTCCATCTCTTAAAATGTAATTTGTATTTGGGACAGGTATTATGAAATGTGCAATTATTATTTGTTTAGAGGAATTACCGCTCGGGTGGTAATAACTTAACTGATATAGTCTTCCGCAGCGACGGTCTTCAGATCCTGCAACCCCCCCCGTATCATTCTCAGCCGAATTAATTACGCCCGTTATTCTTTTGCCCACTTGTTTCCTAGGCGGATGATTCAAAAGTTGACGGAAAAGCGTTAGCTGGCTCAAATGAACAGGCTTTTTGCTTGTCTTATAATCCCAACAATGTCCTCCTACTTGACAAAAAGCGTCAGGATCACCCAGCCCCACTCTCGTTCATTCGCATTCGTTGGGCAACGGATTCTTACTCCGAACGTTCTCATGTCTCAAGTTCACACAACCAAATTTGTTTGAAGCGGCAGACCAATGCCATTGAGGCATACTGGAGTAGACTGAAAAGGGAACTCCACGAGCGAGGCCCTGTATGTGGTCGACCTGTGTGGGCTCACATAGACGAAGTAGAGTATCGTCTTTGGTTTGGCCTCAATGCAATGTCTTTGACAGATATCTGGGAACGGTTCCTGTCCCATGTTGTGCAGACTTCTCCTATTTAAAAGTGATTTTGTTTTGCAATAAACTGCCATAATGCGAATGTATGCCGTATATTCAGGTGTACGTGTGTAACGATGGGGAAGGTTGGGTAACAGCGACCATCGTCCATGTAACCTGCGATGCTCGTCCGGCCAGCCCATGTTAGGCCGTCGGGGAAAGTCCAAGTAGTGCGTGAAAGCAGGCCTGCAACCGCTGATATAGCCTGAAGGCGTTTGAGTCCACTGCTAAAGGTACTATTTCTAGGTAACGGATTTTTGTGGGTGCCATCTCCCGATTGTCACCATTTGAAGTCTAGGTACACTGGCTAGCACCTGAACTTCCATCCATACTTACAGTCGCACATTGATCGCTGGTTCTACGCCTGATGTCTACTTCGATAGTGCTTGTGAGCCGACAGTCAGTGTAAAATTACTACTGTTCATATTTAGGCCACACATCAACTCACCACATCCGCCCTCACTGCCCACGCACATTCACTCGCGGGCCCATTCGGTCACGTGCGCATCCACGACGGTGGAATTCATCAGAATATCGACACACTAGGCATACTTTCAACAACCGCCAACTCTCCCATCGCCAGCCCAATCAACTCCACATCCATCAGCGTGACCACGACCAGTAGCACCCCAACGACAACCAACTTAACACCTTCTAGCCTATCGTGCCTACACTGTCACCGTACACGCAGGTCAAACATTGGCCTGGTTGGCCACTCGCGAATCCATCGCACAGAGACTGCTGGACCAGTGCCTGGAGCACCAACATACCTCAGACAGCATCGCAGCAACCACCCGTATTGCCCTCATACATTTAGCCATCGCATGGGGCTATTTGGTTGCATGCGCCTCTCATGAGAACCTGCAGCGAATCATCGCAGACGTGACCACATAACCACACGCCCTCTTTTAATACATTCACTACACCTAAACATCTCCAACATCCCACACCTTCGGGATCTCTTATGTAAAAGGGAAATGTGTTCTGTGACCCCTTTCTCCACGCAGTTCCTTTGCTGTGTCTGAGATGCGAGGCGTCTACTGTCTTGTGTGTGTGAAGTCCTGGTCCGTGCGTGCACGAGGGGCCCGGCCGTGTGTGTGTGTATGGCGCACGCAGACGACCTGTTCTCAACTCTGTCAGCCACCTCTCCCAATTTCAGCCGACTCGGACGGCGACTAGTGCACGGGATAGGGTAGGGCGAGAGACGTGGACTTCTTGTGCACAATTCCTCATCATAAACGATCTGATGCGCTAAAAGCCGTAGTTTGGGAGGTAACCAAATGACGCTTAAACTCAGACCTCGCAGTGAGCTTTTATGGGGTGGCCGACTAAGTCAGACTGAGAATCAGGCTGCAGTGAGTTCTTTTATGACACTCTCACTCAATGGGATCCAAGTCGGTGCAGGTTTTCTCCGTGCCAGTCACCTGCACCCTCCCCCACCTCCGGTCTTTTTGAGTCTGCCATGACACCGGATCCAGGTGAGGGAAGGGTGTGCGGTAGATGGTAGGAGGGTATACTATTATTATAGACGAACTCCTGGGCAGATCACCGTCCCTGCGCTCACGTTGTTGTGGAGCACACGGTGGACATCGTTGGTAACGATGTTCGAACAATCGGAGCTGCTCACCAGTTTGCTGGTAGTGTGGACGGGATTGTCGAATTCAGAAATTGGCCACAGCTGCCATCCACCGAAAGCTTCCCATCAGCGCATATCTTTTGGGGCTAGTTGTGTTTTACAGTCACGTAGAGGAATCGTCGCGTATACAGGCAACATCGAACATATCTCATTCCGACCCCGGTGGCTCCAACAATGTTGGACGGATGTCGCGCGCACGGCTTATCTGATGGTTGCCTAGTTCGCCGAGAATCCGATAAACAGTAACATAAGCTGTTAAATAAAGCGGTACACTTCATTCCCCACAGAGGAATTTGCCAGAATCGCGACGTTACCATTGCAGACAAGATCTGTTATGCGCAAGACCGGCGTGGTCTGCAGAAGTAGACTAGATAACCTTAAATAAATAATTACGGAGTGTTGTGGAGAACTTGTACTGAATATTCTAGAGAAACTCGTGAATGTGTTTGCACACTGGATTGTAAGCCTTACAACCCTGACCCATGATTGCGGTAGAATAGCAAGATAGCTTAGTTGGCCGGGAAAGAAGCTGTGCTGAAGGTGTGAACGATGTTTAACGAGGCGCTGTCTTCAATAATATTCTGCGTCTGCCTGAATCCAAGAAACTGGAGCCCGGGAACTAAAGGTCCGGGAGTGCTCTCCACTCTCCTCAGCCACAACGGTCGGCATGACCTTCCGATAGACAATGAAAGACGACTCACTTCCAGTTTACAGTATTGCGTGGGTGGGGGACAGACGATGAGCAACTATCGTACGTACAATTTGTCGTCTCATCCTACGCCCGGACGTAAACTGCCGACCGGCGCAACCGAAATGTCCTCAACCTACAGACGCAAAAGTTGGTCAGAAAACTCCCTCGACACTATTTGCTAGTCATTCCGGACGACTATAACGTCCCAATTAGGCTCGGCGAAGATTAAAGTAACTACCTAGCTTTCCAATTTGGATTTGGCTCTCTGTGCTACAAGGGAGGGCCCCTGAAGTTCAGCGACGGGTTACGGAAGGCAAACACTGGTGGCCAGACATTGTAGTGAGAGGCTGACAGCCAGCCCCATTCGTCCAACTGCAATCACCTCGAGGTTCCTTAACAGGGTGAGTAGCTAAATCGACCAGTGGTACCGAAACCATTAATTCCTCCGGGTCAGACTATGCTCTAATTCGCAGACTTGGAGGTCTAAAAAGAATCGCGTCCAAAACATCTCGCTCCAGATCCCATGGTGTCGTAAAAAATACCTACGACCCAGCACAACCTAGACTGGACACGAGAATCCTACTGGTGGCGAATGGTAAGCACTGGACACCTCAGAACGGGAGACAGCCGAAGGAATCCCTAGACGTGCCTACTGCAACAACCCCGTCGGCTTAAGAACATGTGTCCTATGTCCAGACATCCTAAGCCGAACACCAAAAGAATAACGAAGACAGCTAAACGGCGGCTTTTATGAACTCGGCTCCAAACGTCGGTGACGTTCAACATTACCACTAAATTGTCAAGTCAGTGGAAGGCTCACATACGAACGGCAAATTTATGGTAAAGCCTTGTTACACATAGGACCAATCATTAATCTTGGGGGGCGATTTTGCTCTCTTCTAATCCACTCGGTCCAGCATAACCCTCTGGGAAATAAAACCGTGGTATGATACTAAGGCTGCACAAGAAAGACGAACTGAACGAAAGGCGTTCCCGCCGGAGTACCCGAGCCTTCTGTCTTGAGATCATTCCTGATGGGAGAGATTCGCCATCTCCGTACTAGTCTGTAATAAAGTAAAATCTATGGTGAAACAAATCTCGTTGCTTGGGAGGTCTTGGTCAATTTCAAGCCATTACAGTGCGCGACGAGGAAGCGATACCCGACAGGAGAGAGAAAGTAGGCTTTATTTTGAAATTGGTATTCCAAATATTTTCAGCAAAAACGTTCGCTACTCACCGTGGTCCTCATACAAATAAGTAAACGACGACAGAATGTGTTTAAATAAAATGGCCTCTTAACACGTCTTAAAATGAGCATTTCCTTCTTGAATAAGACGGGGAAAAATAGCTGAAGAGTAAAAAATGACGGAAAGGATGCAGGCATAGAAGAATTGCCATATTAAGGGCCGGGGGACGCGGAGGGAACGTAAACGTCGAATGTAACAAGCGAGTTTAAGAATTCTGTGAAAGGGGTTACGGCAGTAGGGGAGACCTGAGAACAGACTAACACCCATGTACCAGGAAGACAATATCTTATTGGGGAGAATGTCAAAGGATTCGGGAGTAGGAACTGGTCGTAGTCCAAACACTGACCAGTTGCCAAGGACTATACAGAGACATGATCAAAAACCTTCCACCAGAAACTGGAGATGAGTCTTATTTTTAACAAGACGGCCAACAACTATATTTTCGGCACACTGAGTGTATAGGCAGTCATTGGATGACCTCAGATAACCAGTGATGTAGCGGAAAGATGTGAGGGTATAAAGCGGAGCCTTGGGGCATTCCACAGTTATCAGGAAGATTTCCGATTGCCAGACTGGAAATAGTACGGAAGGCAAAGTAATCTGTTAGCCTGGAAACGATCCAGTCTGGAGAACCGCAGTCGGGTGTTTTCCCAACGTGACGCGAAACAGTGTTCAAGGCAGAAGAGTACTCACAAAGTGCATAAGCGTACGCACGGCAACCCTTGTCTGGGTCTCTTAGGGGCGAGTGGACCACAAAAGCAACCGCGGGGAAGGTATCGTGGTTGGCTTCATGTGGGAATTTGAGGATTCGATAAACTGGAGTGGCATAATAGTATGCAGGACAACTCGTTCACCGAATTTCAAAAGTGCGAAGAATTTAGAGCCAAATTGAATCCTACAGGCACGCAATTTTATTCCGTAGCGGCTAAGCGGTGATGGTGTACGTTCAGTACGCCACAACTTCAGGCCATATCCCAAGTTGTTAGAAGCAGGACGCCATTTGATTAGGAAGATAATCTACTTATTCTGTACAGAATTGTGAAGGGAAGTTGGCAACCGGACGAGAGTACGTCCAGCGCCGCGGAGACGGCGTCCGTGAGAGCGACGAGCCGTGTGTCGCCGCTACAAGTGTCGTGACAGATTGTTTACGCTAGTGTCTGGCGGTGCCCGCCTGTCTTACCAATCAGCTATAGTAGGTGCGTTGATTGGCTTCAAGCCCACGTGAGGGTAGTGAGAAGCCTCGCATGGTGCAGGCAGAGTATCGACCAGATGCGTGGTGCAGACAGTGAATTGCAACGAGACAAATCAAAGCCGGGCAGACGTGCGTGCCACAGCAGGCTGTCGCTAGGACGTAGGTGCAGGCGCTAGCGAGAGGCGCAACGTTGCCACGATGGCTGTCCACTGCAATTCCGACAGCATGCCAGGCATCAGGCACTTTTTATTATGCGAAAGACATGATAGGAGGACGAGTCAATACGGGACAAGGTAAGGAACGACCTGACCCCGTAGCTGTTGAACCACAAACCTTCCGAGGATACCACCCTACAGCAGCTACGGACACGACAAGACACATGATGATAGCAAACGACGCTCGAGGGAAGACTGGACTCACAGGTGGTCAAATATCCTTGGCGAGTCAAAACCAATGTCAACTATGGCCAGCGTGATTATTTACCCAGTGAGGCGCTTAAGATTCTTCCAAACATCCACAGAAAAATTCGCGCCTCGGTCCATCCTCATATCCGGCCACATCTTGCTGTAATCACCAGAGCATTTGACTCCGCTGATTGTGGGTTCGCAGACGGCGGACGAGAGAAATCCACGGACTGAGAGCCGCGATCGAGGCCTACAGTGGCTCCACGTGCCCTCACCTACAACCGCGCATAACCCGGCCCATGGCGTAACACGTTTACGTCCCTGTACCCATGCATTTAAACTCTTGCGCTGATTACATTTTCGGAAAGACTGTACGCGACCTTGTCAGGTTTGTACGGAGGTTCTATCCTATCTGTCCCGATCATCTCGACATCATCTGGCATTACGGGCTACGACGAACTGCGAAGTGATACGTCCTTGGTGCATGAGGGCAGAAATTCAGCTGGTTTATATACGTATCTGAATATCTCACGTACTGTACGACAGTAAATGATCAAAAAACAGACACCATAATGAGCAACAGATGACAATTCGGATGCAATTTTAAGCACCCTAAGACCGGGCTGCAGGAAAACGGACAGGACATGGCCGACAGTGGGAAGCTCTCGGGGGTGTCTAGGACTCGCTTGAGTTATCTCAGCCACCTGCGCGTATCGGGTGGCCGACAGTTCGGTCCACGTTTACGGTGGGGAACGCTACGTCGCATGAGAACTTCCCTTGGAACCAAGTAAAAGCAACCTGTCTCGAGCGGTGCGGTTAGAATTCTACACGACAACACGAGGATATGACAGATTACTAGGGTAAGAAAGCCGAAGTCGTGTAAACATCTTTTGTCCCTCGTCAGGTCAGTTTAGTGCCTCGTCCGCTCCTGAAGCGAGGTCAGGGAAAATGCGGCATACCTTGAGTGACAGCAAAGGGTCAGACGTGCCCAGCACAAATCTCTCGCTGACCACTGATCGACAGGCCTGGATCAAAACGTGTTGCTGCACGGCACCAGGTGGGAGCTAAGAATCCGAACGAGAAGCGGAGGGTATTACTAGACCATATGTCTAAATAACCAACATAGGCAAGAAGGTGGTCTCCAAGTAGTTAGGAGTTGGTCGCCCCCATCAAGAGTTTCGTTGGTCTGACGGTTCAGACTCGCTCTGTAACTAGGTATTAGGAACAAGAACGGATACGGGTGGGGGAGACGTAGGTGGCGAGCAGGGCGCTCCCCCCGCGCCGACATTTAACTCCAACTTACGGACCGGCAATACAGTTGTTCCAGCGACTCCGCTACATAGATGATCCAAGCACCCTGCTTGACAACGCACGGCCAGATAAACAGGCCTTCTGTCAAACGCGGGCATGGCGCCTTCTGATGGGACGTCTCCGTTTACTTCTGTTCCCTATGATCTGGCGGTCGCGGGCAAAAAAATTACTCCTAAAAAAACAAATAGTATGGATCGGAGGTGACCGAATACCCTACCTTTCCGGGGTTCTATCTCAAAAAGTATTTCAGGCCTGACGGAAAAATATGGGAGGAAGGGATAGAGTTCGCGATGGATAATGACCAGGCGACCTTCCTTGACGCCCTCGCCCGTCGTAAAACGTGGTGGTCCGAAGGTGTGTACAAAAAGACATAAAACAAACTACTGGAGAACACATTCAGGCAAGGTGTTCTGACGGGGTGTTACGACGCATCGTGGTGAACCGGACGACAAGGTTAGAGGATTGCAACGCTCGACGAGTGCTCAGAGCTAATGACTGCCCGCACTCCTCCGAAAAAACATGCAAAATGACGAGCCAAACTGCAAATTTTATGAATATTCCCACACGTCCACGGCATCTCGAAAGACGTCAGTCGCCCTCTCATACTTGGGATTGCGCGTGGAGGAGCAATAATCGCCGCCAGGCGGCGAGGCCGGAGAATCCACCACAATCCCAAAATGACATGGGGTCGTTTGGCATATGAGATACAGTTGCGAGAAACCAGTGAGGTTGGTGTGGACGCGGACATCCACCAGCAGTGTGGGATGGCGCCAAACCTCGAGGCGATGGCCTCTCCACGAGACCTGGCCACACCGGGTTCGGCGAGGGCACGACCGTCATCAGGGATGACTATGGGCCGCTCAAGCTATGGCCTGATGGCCAGCAACGCACAAACAGGCGTAGTATTCGCTCGAGCCTAGCACACAGATGATGGCAGGACAGACTAATCACGCAGGGAGGCTGCTCCCAGTGACAGTGCTTGCGAGTATGACGGTCATGTAATTGTCACGCCAACCAACAATAACGGCAGTGAAATCGTAAAAACTGTTAGCCTGTGCACGAACAGCCAAGCTAACGCAGCACCAAACAAGAACAACTGCGTCTAACAGGACCGTGGGATTCTTAAATGTAACTGCACAGCAACTGCAGTCCCTGTGCATCCAGTTTGTTATCTGCCGTCTAAGATGACAAGTTCTAGGGTCGAAAACGTTAGGCGAATAAAACGGCTATCACAGAGAACAAGTCTCCATGATTTAAATTCAAAGGGAATCACGACGGACAGCGGGAAGAATTGCGGCGTTCAGTCGCGCACATGAGTATAGGAGCCCGAAAATGATGGCGGCTGACAGGAAATAGAAGATTGGTGGATAGTGTTTCCAATTAGGTTCGCGGTCGAGGTGTGAAGAGGTAATGCACAATTACGAAGTGGAAATGTGAAAATAATGATCTCAGTCACAAGGTCGGTGTATAGGGCACCGAGTCTGCGTCTTTTAACCCACCCGAATAACAGAACAATGGTCCGCGAGTAACTCTATTCAACTTATTTGAGAGGAATAAATCGCGAGCTGTGGGTGGCACCAATACCAGGGCGACCGTGCTTTACAGGCTTGTAGGTAATGGAAAACTCCCCAAGGTAGTGTCCGATCATTTCAGGGCGGATTTCCACAGAGTTGAAAGTCTTCCCATTGTAAACACCAACGATGGAGCCCACCATCTCAGGTAGAACGATCATATTCCGCAGGTGCGTCTTAACAACCTACAGAAAATTAAAAGAGAGCAGTACACACCTCCGGCTTTTCGCCAATCGGACAATCCTTCTTGCTTTTTCGAAGCTTTTTAAGAAGAGTATTATGATTCCTCCGGAAGCCACGGGTAATGCGGCGCCGCTGACGAGCAGGCATCAACTCGGCCAGTTGTTCCCTAAGGACTCAACATTGAAAAGTAAACTACTTACTTAGTCATGTCTAGCAGCTGATCAAGGTCTACACCTCGGTAGAAAAATTTCCTGAAGGTGCGCCTCTTCTTAACTTCTTCTTCAGCCTTTAGAATAGTAAAATATCAGGGTTAACGTTACCATTATCCAGACAGAGCGCCAAACGTGAGGAGGCTCGAAGAGTGCGGCAGAAGAGTCCAAGTGAATTAAAACGCAGTGGGTCGACGCACACGTTTTCACACGGCAGTGTTTGACAGGTTAAGTCTTACATGTTTTCGAGGCGACAATTTCAGCCTAGTTCATGTATGTGTAAGCATATGCGAAAAATGCTATCGATTTGAATTCAAAGGTCAAGCTTAATAGTGCTACCTAGTGTGTCAACAGTTTCACTATCGGATATATAACACCCTAGCGGTTTGTACGGGGAACCTAGCAGAACGAAATTCGTGATAGGCACCGGGTTTCCTAACATAAATCTAGAAGATTTTAGGGAAGGCTTCTGAGAACAACGCATTTTAAGTCAGTCATGATTTGGTACGATAGGTTTATGCGTCAGTTGTGTCTCCGTTTACACTTATAAATTTAGAACACATGTACTACGTTCCCAAGATAGGGCGAATGCACTTGAGTGTACTGCCGGCCCACTGTGTTCTTGTGAGATGCTAGTCGATTTCAGTTTCGGGGTTACTCATTCTGACAAATATTGCGGGCTTCAGCATCATAAGTCTCCGCTGCTTTTGCTACAGTCCTTCCGTAATTTTTCAGTATCTGCCAATTACCGTCCATATTTAAAGTTGTAGGGAAACTTGGTGTCTTATCGAGTCCCAATACGAAGTTGATCGCTGATTTCTACAAAGCACTTTTATCAAACAAAAATTTTATCCACTCGACCTAACTGTGAAAAACTCGGCAGCTTCGGTGGAATTCGAACCCGCGACAGCAATGGCAAGACTTGAGTTCAGCCAACCTTCTAACAATCTGGACTACGAGGCCCCAACGGGAGCCGCGAAGTTAATTCAATTTGAGTCGAGTACTCCGTTCATTCAAACGTCTGGGCTCGGAGCGGTGACATTGTTGAACTCCCTGATGCTTCCATTTTGGACGTAACTATAGACTAGAATAGGACAGAACAGAATAGAATGAAATAGGATATGATGTCAGTGTCGCAGCACTCTGATTCACAGCGAATCATAATGTTGCGATACTGGTATCATACCGCCAAAGGAAGGAGTTCATTTATAAAAACAGGATAATCCAAACGGCCAGGAAAGTGAATATGACGTTCACTGTGCTGATATATGCGGGAGACACAGGAGGAGATTAAGAATCTGCTGCGACTTGAATGTTAGAGGTTGATTAGGAAGTTGCACCTGAATGTGGCGGACATGGAGGAAGAGGACGTATAAGACACAGAGGGGTATGGGACCACAGGGTTCATTGTGAGGAGTGTCCGAGGCAGCGGTCTTAAGGCGGTCCGCGCTCACAACCCTCTCGTCACTTCTGCGTTGGAGACACGACGTCTTCGTTCCTCGAGGGAGGATCCGAAATGGGCCGTCATAGGGCGATTCCAGAGGTCGATGAACTCAATCACATCGAACGCAGACGTGAGAGCACGTTTCCAAGTCCTTCTCAAGATAAGACGGAGAGGTGGAGGACCTGGACGGAACCAGAGAAAGTGTCTGAATAAACTGCCGGAGGCGGTGCAGGAGGTTGGTGGGACCCTCGACGTGCCACAAAGCTTTGGCGAGATCATCTCACTAGGAAGTCGGACTGTGGCGCCGAAGGCTAGTTCAGCCGCGAAACAGTCATGGTCCGGCTTGAGAACGGAGCGGATGCCAAAGAGGATCAGAGAATATGCCCTGTCCAATTCTCCGGATCATCCGCGGTGCGTAGGAAGGTTTTCAATTGGCCGTGAAACCGCTCGACCATCCTGTTGGCTGTCGTCCGGATGCGGATACAGCCTAAGAAGGAGAGGAGAGACTGGAAGAGGCTAGACTCAAACCGGGCACCGCGGTCAGTTGTGATAGTGGTGGGTGCACCAAAAATGGTGACCCAACATTTGAGGAAAGCTTTGACTGCCTTTTCAGCCACGAAATAAGGCAGAGGTGTAACTTCTGGCCACCGGGTGCACCGATCCACACAGATGAGGAGATAGGAACAGCTATTGGACAGAAGCAGGGAACTACAATATCCAGGTGGACAAGACTGAACCGTGCAAGAAATCCGGGGGAGGGGCCTTGTTGTGACGTTGTACACTGTTCCACAGAAAGCAGGGCACGCCTGTGCCCAGGCTTTATTATAAGCCTGACAATACATCTTTGAATTACGTGAGCCTGGTAGTCATCTGGTGGATTTTAGGTGAATTACTTAGGAAATCCTGCTTGGGCCGTCCACTTGCTTTATCAGCTTTGGTGTATTCCGGAAGTTGCAGTAGGTTGGGCAGGCAACTTCACCCAAATGTGATAAAAATCGTTTCGTCCGTCGGGGCCTCGTAACTCAGGTGGTTAGAGTGTTGTCTGTACCCAAGCCTTCCCCTGACTGTCTTGAGTTCGAGTCCCACCGAGGCGCCGAGTTTTCCGCAATTGGGTCAATATGAATTCAGCATTTGCTGATGTATTGTTTTTTTCCAGGATCCCAACGATTTTCATTCTTCTGTGGGCATCAAGATAGTTTTGGCAATCAGATCGGCTCTCTTTTTATAAATATTGGTGTAGTGCTAGAGTATTTCCAAATGTCGGGAAAAATAAATTCAACTGGAATAATCAGAACGGTTTAGAGGGAAGGATTGGAAACGGAGATTAAGGGGCTAAAATGGAGATGAAGAAGTCGCTAAGTCTCCCTCGCTATTTAAGCAAGCAGAAGATATCGATGACAGCTGAAATTCAGAAAAAAAGAACGTAAATAAATACGACTGCCTCACCTGTGACAACCGAGGAGAAAGGAGGTGGTGGTTCTATGGAGCTCGGTGTGAATGAAAACCTGTGTCTAGTGCGAGAAAAGGATGACCAGACCAGATCTCAGGAAGCAAAATGGCTTAGAGGACCTCAAAAATACACGGCCATATAATGGAACAGAAGTTGGGCACACTGCAAACAAAAATCGTGTCCCCGAAGATGGCGAATGACCATGAGGCCGTAGAAAGCGCGAAGTCATAGGTTAGTTCTTCCGAGCCAAACCTTCTTTAATAAGAGGATAGCGATAACTGGGATATCCGTGAAGAAGACTCTGCACGTAGGAGTCAACCCAAAAGCCCTCCCTTTGATCGCACCAAATGCATTATCACAAAGGGTATACCTGAGTCTGCTCCCGACACCCCAAAGGGCAGAATAGATCATGACAGATATATTTCATCAATACCTCAAATCACTCTTAATAAGATACGAGAAACTCGCCGTATTAAAGGCCTTCAGGATAAGCCGAATAAAGGGGCCAAAGGATGAGTCAGACCGACTGAGAGCGCTGCACATTTCGTCGTTTGCATTCGATTTGATTTTGCTCGTTTTCCCAAGTTTGGATGTTTTGTTCACCTTCCTCTGCCGAGAGTTACGCCTCTTCTAAATAAGCTGAGAAATCAGCCTAGAAGTGCAAGTAACCTTCGTTTTCTAGGACCCCATTATCAGCGATATTTTGATCCTTCAGTGAGGCTCTCAGAAAACCACTATCCAGAGCTTAACGAAGTATCTGGCTCGGTTTAGTTCAGATTCCTACAAATACCGGCTTCGTCGTGCTTCCGAAGTCAATCTACCGTCGGTGAAGTGCTCAAGAATCAGCAGAAGGTAAAGATTACTGGCAAGCTGTCTGCGAAAGTTAAGTCTTTCTTTGTTTCCAATTGACATTTGATACTGACTTCCGTTGGAGAACAAGATGTGCTTTGCGCTCAGTGAACTAGTCACTTACCAATTTAAGTCGCCCGTTATAACTTAATGCACTCCGGAGAGACCTTGCTGCTATGGGGAATGCAAATGTACACGACCCTACCATGTGTGACGAAAGTCGGTCGCGTCAGGGATTCGGACCAGGCACCCCTCGAGCAAGAACGGACGGTTTTACCCAATCGGCCACGCCCGAACTGCTGAATGTCCAATAAAATAATATAAACTCAGAAAAAGGCTATTTATCACTGATTTGTAAACCATCTTGTATTCACTGTGATCAAAACTTACCAGGAATAATTAACTCACTCTCTGCTGGGTGTGATGGGCCACCGACCATCAATCTTGAAGAACGCAGTGAACTACTGAAATCAACCACAAATAAATTAGATACTGAAATGTCGACACGCTGTGATGGATGACGATGACTCACCACCAGAGTCTCGAAACTAGAAGTAGACGTCGATCTCCACACTGAAGTAATAGCATCCACCCTCAAGTATAACAAAACTAAACCACCAGAACACGATAAAAAAGACATAAAAAAACATCACTGAGCCGGACCACAGAAATCTCAAGAAACCGCAAAAGGCTATGGACGTCACGTTCATCGAAACATGAGGCAATGAACGAGGTCGTCGGACAAATCTTCCGACTAAATCGAAATAGAGGGGAACAAAAAGGAAGCAGACGGAGATGCAACTGGTCCTCCATTTCCCTAAGTTTGGCAAATCTGGATCATACAGTCTCCCCGCATAAAAATAAAACAGCGATCGACGACTCAAAGAAACACTGTAGACAATAATCGTATTGACTTACCTACGCCGGACTTACCTACTTTCAGTCGGACTATCGTCCAATCGAACGGATAAAAATGAGGACGCTGGTAACGGAGCTGAGAAAACGTCAGAGCGAGGACGAATTGAATCTTAAAATAGTAAAAAGCCAAATTGTAAATATAGAGCGTTCTTTTTGTGAAATCATCCGGCGAAAGTGACGGCAAAAGTAACGGCGCTCAGTTCTAACAAACTTCGATTAGTGGACTTGGTAGGCCATGTGAAATATCCAGCAGAAAATATCAGTCGAAGGCACAAGCAAACAATTTCCAGACATCTAAACAACCGAATAATATGAAAATGATGTACACAAATGTGCAGAGTTTATTCAACAAATTGAACGAAATAAAACTGACCATGGCCCATTTCCAACCCGACTTGATGGCTCTAACAGAAGCATGGTTAAATGAGAAGATAAAAGACGCGGAAGTTATGC